ATATCTGTTTCATACTTGGATATTTTACTTGAAATAGGCGTTAATGGTAACCTAACAACCAAGCTATATGATAAACGTGATGACTTTAACTTTTCTAACGTCAACTTCCCTTACTTATGCAGCAATATACCTACATCACCTGCATGCGGAGTGTATATATCTCAGTTGATTCGATATGCAGGAGCATGCTCTACGTATGATCAATTTTTGAAACGAGGTAAATTATTGACGAGCAAAACAAGATGAAACAAGAATAGCACAGCAGTCTCGTTAAAAGTCATCATTTTGTAAGTTCCATTGTCGATGCAATGACCTTGTCAGCAAATGCAATTTATCATTAAGTCAAATGCTGACGGATTTTTTCGTTTTTTCACGATCATGACAATGAGCACACGGCGGGTGTGACCGGTCAGCAGAGGATGCTCACTACTCCATGGCACCTGATCCCACCTCTGATGTTTCGGAGGTCCGTGTTTGCTCTTCTCTTATTTTGTATTGTTTTATGGACTTTGAGATTGAATACTGTACGTTAACTCCATATCCTTCTTCATATAGCAGTAGTTTGTGATTTTACATCATGCCTGGTGCGCTTATGCCTTTTGAGGTCATGTTCTTTTACCATGCCTGTAGGAACCAGAAAGGGGGAGGGTGTCCCCAATAATTTTGCAATAAATAGAATATTATAGAAAAAATATCTACATGTACTATAATGCTACTAATTGTTAGTGCCCTCTCAGTATAAAAATCGTATGATGACTTTTTTGCTTGTCAAGGAATTTTTTCAGAGTTGTCTATGTCCCCTCCCTCTGAATACATGTTGTGCTTCTTACGAGCCTCTTTATCGCTGTATAAGCACAATGTCTCCTCAACTGCCTCTAATATGCAGTCGATCTCCCTTAAGAAATTAAAAGGAAATTAGCCTTTAAATTCTATAGTTGCTTGAAAAGCGGTAGGGCATGTACTAATAGATATGTCTGTTCGTCTGTCTTAATGTACGTCCGTCCGTCTGGAACACTATGGTGTACCCAGCTCTTATCCGCAACTCCTCTCAAACCACCGAATGAAATTTGAGACTTTCATAAAATCTTTATTATATATTTTTATTGTGCACCTCCTATTTTACTTTTTGGTCCGTGACATATACACTGTATTTGGTTTCCCACAAGTCATTCTACAAGCCATGCAAAACATGGACATTACCATTATATTAATACGGGAGGCGGAAGATATCATTTAGTGAGCTCATTGATCAGAGTACTTCTAGTTTTTTAGTTTTGTATGATTGTTTTTCTTTCTTTTTCTTTTTTAATTTTGTTTTGTTATTTTTATTTATTTGTGTGTATGTGTATTTTGTTTTAATCTTTTAATGACAACCATTAATAATGTCGTCAATTCTTAATTCTCACATTTTAGACGCAAAATTAGGTTTAAATGAAAGAATGAAACTCCCTGAATGTAAGTTTAAATGTATGCATGGACTATGGTACTCTGGTGACCATCGATACTTGTGGATTTCTTGTTTGTTCATCAATTGCATGACAGGAAAATTTGCGTTTATTTTAGGAACGAACAATACAGTTCGAACAATCTCGTTTGAAACGGCGCATAAAGTGACTCCAATGACAATGGTGTTTTAAATTGTGTAAATTCAAACCTTAACATTTAAATGTAAAATTCATACAAAACATTGTTTTAGTATCACAATTTTCAATATTTGTTATTTTGGGAAATAATTATATCTCTTGTGGACTAGAAGCAACGTACAAACGTTACATGCATGTTAAAATATGTGAGAAAACGATAGCATTTTTTAAATCTCTACCTACATATTTATTCAATTTTAATGCAAGCAATTGACACTAATTCAGCGGGATATGCCGCATGATAATTACGTTAATTCATCAGGTTTGTTTGTCAATAGTAATGCTCAACTTGCAATTTAACGGGTAATTGTTCTTCTCTAGGCTAGTTTACATGCTTCGATGCGCAACAACTTCCGGGTTTTTTTAGTATGTGGGTTAGATACCGTGATGAATGCTAGTGTTAACTTTTTACCCGGTGTGTTAATTTTTTTAGTTTGCACGCTGCAATGACCACGGGCTAAAAATAATGGTAAGTTGGTTTTGTTTTAAGTCCACTTTGTGAAATTAAGTGCAACGATATGTGTCGATCAACACGCCGTGAAAGAAACAATATGCGTCGACCAATAAGGTCGATATTGGTTTTACTCTTTAGAAAAAGCTATTGACATCAGGCCACAAGTGTGTAGTTTTTTGTTCTCTCATATTTCGCTTTACTTCTAGTCAACTGAGTGTTTATATGTATCTTAGGCCCCCTTCAGTATTTACAGATAATCCTTTGTATGAGGGTCCTTACTTGATGCCTGAGTAGTGGCAACGGGACATAAAACCTTCAATGATCTTAATGACAAGTCTTATACTTCCTCCCCATCTTTTTCGGTATTAATATATCCATTGCACACATTTTTCCGAGGAATGAACTGCATCTACTCTGGAGTACCTCTCCCACTGTGGCACAACAGTACTATTACCAGATGTTCTTGAAAGGCAAATTCAGCAATGTTTGCTCAGCATGAGTTTCTTTTCGTGACACCAGTACCGAGTTACACAAAGTAAATTATTCGTAACCTACAACAAAGTGTGCTTACACTGAGGTATAATTCCGGTTGATTGCATTTAGTTAAATAGAATATATGATCTGCATTTCCGTAACTGTCTTTCATATCAATTTAGGGAAGAAAATAGAAGTAACATACAAAGACCTGTATGAAAAAATCAGATTTGTGATTATACGGGTTAAAAGTTTGCAAAAAAATGTGTGCGAACAGGTGGATTCACACCAGGACACTAAGAAGTATAAACCAGTATGATAGAAATAGGGGTATTGTATTTTTTTTTTTTACGAATTCCGTCCCTAGGACAGGGGTCATCCTAGAGAAATCTTGCTTTAAGTTTTTCCGTACATCAAAATCTATCACAATTTCATAATTTTTGGAAAAGGCCTGCCCTGAAGGACTTCTATGCTAAAATTCATTATAAGAATTGGTGCTTTAATGGATAAAATGTTGGTTTGGCTACGTTTGGAGATTAATTTCTCAGCTGCAATGAAAAAAAAAATAAGGAAAACACTGCAGATTTGAAAAATTTACATAAATAAACCAAAGAAAACAACTAAAGAAAATTGATCTTTAAATGTTAATTTTTCCGAAAACAATTCTCTCATATCGGTCAATTCATTTGTAAGTCCGAATACATTCCCTGTAATTTTAATTATCTTAAGATAAATAAAAGGTTCTGAATACGCTTTTTATATACGTGTATTTCGGTGTATGTGAAATGCACTAGCATCATATAAGTCAAGATAATATTAAGAAAATTTTAGAAAATATTATCTTCTAATCTGTCCCAATCCCTTTAAGGGAAAGATTGCCACATCTGTATAATGGAAAATCTAAAAAATCTAACAGTAACCATTCAAAAGTTATGGCAAAGGTCAAATAATCGAATTTGTTGGTATGTAAGAGCAATGGCACAAGAAATACGCCTTAGATATGGGTAATTTCAAATTAAAGAAAATTAAAGTACCAATTAGAAAAATTTAGAAGTTTTGTGTTTAAAAAGTACATTTTCCTTTTTTCATTTAAAAAGGTGTGAAATGTGTCAGTTTAAAATATACCTTTACAAAAGGATCAGATGAAATTGTTTAACAAAGGTTGTATGTGTTACTAATTAAAAATAATTCTGTGGCATTTAAGAAAAAGCTTGTTTTAGTCACCAACAATTTTATTAGAAGTTCGTTTTTCAATTTAAGGACAGATAGTACAAACAAAGAAATGGATGCCTGCTGATTATCATATATTTTGGGGTCTATTTTTTGTAAATGATGCAAATAATAAATTTCTAAAATATCAAGAAATTTTAAACCTTTTATTATGTTAAATTCTACTTTTCTGCAACCATCCGTATAAATCGATCCAAATTTTGTCACTTCAAATCCCATTATTGCAAAATTTGGAATGAAAAATGAAAAAAATTATCTGGTTAACCTTCTTTATTTCACAAAAAATTTATGAAATTTTGTATCATCTGTCCTTGTGTCGATTTACTTTTATAAATGTTTGCGTGTCTGTGAAAAATAATTATTTATTTCCTGATCCTTTTAATTATTATTGAATTGAATATATTGTTAGTTGTCGATATTTTGTATGTTTGTACCTTTCCTATATAATATAAGTGCATATTTCCTTAAAAAACATTTATCTGTGGAAATATAAGTGTATCAAAATGAATTTTGAATTGTAGATTGTACCCTGAAATAAAATTTTGAACCTAGAAGACAAGTGGGACCAAATAAAGGTAGCATGGTGAATATGAATGCCACAAGACAAATTAAAGTGCTTCAATGCTGTCAGTGTCAGAATGACGTAGAATTCTACTGCAGGCCATGTAAAAAAAATATGTGTATGTATTGTAAGCAGAAACACGTTGTGTACCTCGATACCAAAGATCATAATGTCGTTATTTACCGTTTAAAGCATGGTGACTTAATAACACCAGAGGTATGTGAGAGACACAGAAACCGAAAATTTAAAAACTGGTGCAAATCCTGTGAATGTCCCATTTATGATAAAAATTGTAAGCACGAAGAACATGAAATTCTGGATATTAAATTAGCCTGCATGGTTCAAAAAGCGGAACACAGGGAGAGAATTATTCAGATTAGAGGCGATAGTCTCCCATACGACCGAGCGATCCTAGCAGGTCTCGAAACTGATGTGAAAAGAGACATAAAAAACGTAAAAGCAAAACTTTCAAGCATCACACAAGAGCTTGTGGTTAAAGCTGAAAACTTAAAAAAAACTTATCGAAATACATAGTAAAGCACTAAATGATTTACATAAAACAAATGTTTATACGCGTTTCAGAATAAAACATCAAAACGTGATGGAATATGTGCATAGATACGAGCAATTGGCAAACATGCCTGTGAAGTTTCTATTGTTCATAAAGAAAACCCATGTCCCCAAGAGAACAGAACTTCCTGCTAACATAAAGCGTGACTTTAATAAAGAAATAAGTATAAGATGCATTTTAGAGCTATTAGTTGAAATCAAAATCACAGAAGCAGGAAAAAGACAAGTTAGAAATGAGAATATGTTGAGGCTGTTAAAAGGGGCTATCCTAAATACTAAGCATGTTGATGTGATTAACTTATATCACGGTGGACACATTTCCTTTGTGACGTCAGATAGACGTTGGGTCAGTGATGGACGTAGTCTTATTTTGACGAGTTCTAAAGGTAACAATCTCTTTCATGTATTTGATGTAAGTGAATACTATAATGTTGGTGTACATACAGTAAACAGTGAAGGAGAACTTATTTATATAGACAAAGACTGGAACATTAACAAACTAAGTGCAGACAATACTACAAAGTCGACATTGATAAAAAGAACTGAACTATGGGAACCACTTTGTATCTGTCATTCTTCCTCTACTGGAGATTTGCTGGTCATGATGAGATATGATACACGAAACTCCGCCATACCATTATCAGATGTGAAAGTCATTCGGTATAGTAGTACAGTACAACTAATCCAAAGCATCCAATACCAAAAAACAGGCGAACCATTATATCATGATCCTGTCTACATCACGGAGAACAGGAATGGAGATATTGTTGTATCTGATTCATTCAAAGGTGTGGTGGTCACAGATCATAATGGAAAATATCGTTTTACTTACACAGGACAACCATTAGCACCACCATCAGTATCCCTTATACCACATGGGATCTGTGTAGATGCACTCTTAAATATCCTTATCTGTGGTCTATTGGACCACGCAATACACTATATTGACAAGGACGGTCATCCCCTGTTGATTCTATCAACGAAAGAAGCTGGGATATTTGAACCATTGGGTCTGGGATATGACGAAAAAAATCATCTTGTTTATTTCGGATCAAGAAAGACCAACAGACTGTGTGTGTACAGACATATAGAACGACAAAACTATCTTGCATAAACTCTAATTTGCTAGTATTTGGCTGACTTGTTTTATATCAGTTGGTAGAACTTTTTTAGCTGAATTTGACTACAGATTGTTACGTACACTTGATCAATAAATAAGGCTGAAGGCAGGTTATAACCTGTCAACAGGGACACTTACTCCTCCTAGGCACCTGATCCCACCTCTGTAATTTGCATTGGTACCTGTTATGTTGTGAATGGTTTTTGCGCGATCGATCCCTGTCCGTTATCTTCACATTTTTCATACCTTTACAGACAAACAGACAAGGAGATTTCGACACTCTTATTGATATAGATAATAATGATCTGATATACGTACAATGAGAGTTTATATTTATTTTTATTCCTGGGATACCGGAGTAAAGAGATTCCGAACATTATTCAAGCTCAGTTTATTTTAACGAATACAAATAAGGAGCAGAGCAAACGCTGGCCTTTAAAAGTTCAGAGGTGAGATCAATTCAATAAAGGAGTGAGCATCCTCTAACGACCAGTAATACTAGTGTGTGTTCCTTTTCATAATCATAGGCACTTGGGGTATGGATCCCCCCCACTTTCCCATTTTTCTTTTCTTTTTTAAATATAAGGTCGAGTCACCTTTTTCCTATTTTTTGTATTCTAATATGCACTATATATTATCAATAATGTAGCTGTTTTGTCTCTATAAGCTGTTTTTTTTTTTTATAAAATCCAGATAAACAATAGAAACCAAATAATAAGCATGGCTGATTATAGGTAAAGTATGCAACTTGTTTGTTATTGATTTGCTAGTAAAATTAAGAGATAAGCTTTACCTGTGATACTCCACGATCAATAAAACAGAAACATTAACTGACATAGAAAGACAAGAAAAATGGCGCAAATGTTTTAAAATTATTTTATCATGAACATTCTTGCATTATTAGTCTCACTTATTTTTTCCTGATAATTTGTTTTTCAAACACTCCTTCTATTATATTATACTTTATATTAAAATTATTTAGTCAATTTCAAAAAACAGAAATATTTACTGACATTGAAGGGTAAGAAAATTGCCATAAACATTTGCAAATTATTTGATTATAATTTAATTTTGTTTGTATTCTCGCCTCTTGTTGGTTGATTTCCAAAATGGAACGCATATTATTTTGTATAATCTGGTTTGGTATGGGGACATATCCCCTGACGACCAGCTTAATCATCTTATCCACGCAATTTCCTCATTTTCAGTCCTATTTATCTATGGATTATTCCAGATTTAATAAATGTACCTTTATTTTTAAACAGTAGCTCGATCTTACCTCATGTAAATAAGCATCATGGCTGCTAGATCTATTGTTCAGTTATTACCTCCCACGCTTCCTAGCACTTCCGTCACTACGGTAAATTTGAACTCATAAAAAACAACACAAATTCACATCAAAAGTTGTTTAATTATTTTAAAATTAGATCATAAGGAGTGAGAGTCATTCCATAAATAAACATACTTGCATACTGAGTTTTTGTTATTCATTTGGGGGGGGGGGGGGTTAAAATTCTTGTTGTAGTGAACAATTTTACTAGACGTACAGTACATTTTAAAATTTAAAACATTTAACTTTTCATGAAAATTAATGTCCATGAAAAAACTATATTTTTAAATGTAGATTGTCCCCTGAAGTGACATTTTGAACCTAAAAGAAAAAACATATTTAAGTAACACCATGAATAAGGATATCACAACTCAAATTAAAGTGATTCAATGCTGTCAATGTCAGAGGGAAGTTGAATTCTACTGCGGTACATGTGAAAAAAATATGTGTATGACATGTAATCAGAGACACGTTGTGTACCTCGATACCAAAGACCATGATGTTGTTATTTATCGTGTAAAGCATAGAGACTTTATAACACCGGAGTTATGTGATAAACACACAGACTGCAAATATAAAAACTGGTGCAAATCCTGTGAATGTCCCATCTGTGATAAACATTATGAACATCAAGGTCATGAAATTCTAGATATCAAATTAGCCTGGACGGTTCAAAAACAGAAACACAGGGAAAGAATTATTCAGATTAGAGGCGAAAGTCTCCCATACAATCGTGCGATCTTAACAGGTCTCAAATCTGACGTCAAAAGAGACGTAAAAGCCTTAAAAGTAAAACTTTCCAGCATTGGAGAAGATCTTACAATTAAAGCTGAAAACTTGAAAAAAAAACTTCTCGAAATACATAGTGAAGCGCTAAATGATTTACATAAAACAAATGTTTATACGCGTTTCAGAATTAAAACTCAAAAAGTGAAGAAATATTTGCATAGATACGAGCAAATGGCAACCAAGCCTGTGAAGTTTCTATTGTTTATAAATAAAACCCCTGTCCCCAAGATAATAGAACTTGCTGATAACATGAAGTGTAACTTCAATAAAGAAATAAGTATAAGGGACATTTTAAATCTATTAGTCGAAATCAAAATCACAGAGACAGGAAAAAGACAAGTTAGAAATGAGGCTGTTAAAAGGGGCTATCCTAAATACTAAGCATGTTTATGTGATTAATTTATATCAAGGTTGACACATTTCTTTTGTGACGTCAGATAGACTTCGGGCAGTGATCTCATTTTGACAAATTCTAAAGGTAACAATTTACATCATTTATTTGATGCAAGTGAATACTATGGTGTACATACAGTAAACAGTGCAGGAGAGTTGATTTATGAAGACAAAGACTGGAGCATTAACAAACTAAGTGCAGACAATACTACAAAGTCAACACTAATAAAGAGAAAAAAACTATGGGAACCATGGTGTATCTGTCACTCAGGCTCTGCTGGAGATTTGCTGGTCATGATAAGATATGATACAAGAAACCCCACCATAGTATTATCAAATGTGAAAGTCATTCGGTATAATAGTACACTACAACTAATCCAAACTATCCAATACGACAGGACAGGTAGACCATTATATCATGATCCTATCTACATTACGGAGAACAGGAATGGAGATATTGTTGTATCTGATATATGGAATGGTGTGGTGGTCACAGACCTTTAAGGGAAATATCGTTTCACTTACATAGGACCACCAGAGGGATTGTCTATTGGATTTATGCCAAGTGGAATCTGTGTAGATGCATTCTTAAATATCCTGATCTCTGGTCGGTGCTATATCTCACCGAAAATATTCGCCACTTGTATAAATCATGCAGGGGAAATAGCAAACGTGGCACACCTCCGGCTGGTCACGCTACCGGACACCAAACTAGATCTGACCACCCCGACAAAACCGGTCCCTTTATATACTCGTGGCAGAACAGACTCAAATGTATGGAACCCCATTCGAACAAAATTAAAATAATATATACAACAAAAAATCAACTTCTTCACAATCATCTTGCATAAACTTTAATTTACCAGTGTTCGGCTGACTTGTTTTATACCATTTGGTAGAACTTTGTTTTTTGCGCTCCGTTATTAGCAGACTTATTTTTTATATTCATATGAAGCAGAATTTATGCAAAATCTTATGCGTGAAAAGAAGAAAACACTTGCTGTGGCCTTCAGCTCGACATTTAGATATATCGACGTCGTATTATCAATTGATAATGATAATTTCCATTCCTACGTCGACACGATATATCCTGGTGAGCTTGAGATAAAAGATACCACAGAGTCCGACACTTCTGCTTCACACTTGGATATTTAACTTGAAAAAGACACCAATGGTAATCTAACAACCAAGCTATATGATAAACGTAATGACTTTAACTTTTCTATCGTCAACTTCCCCTTACTTAAGCAGCAATATACCTTCATCACCTGCATACGGAGTATATATATCTCAGTTGATTCGATATGCAAGAGCATGCTCTACGTATGAACAATTTCTTAAACGAGGTAAATTATTGACAAGCAAGTTGATGAAACAAGAATATCAACAGTCTCGTTTAAAGTCATCATTTCGTAAATTCTATGGTCGATACAATGACCTTGTCAGCAAATACAATTTATCATTGAATGAAATGCTGACTGACGTTTATCATACCAATTGTTAGTCCATTATTTATACACTGAATTGACTACGGATTTTTTCCGTTATTTCCTGATTATGACAACGAGCACACGGCGGGTGTGACCGGTCGGCAGGGGATGCTCACTCCTCCATGGCACCTGATCCCACCTCTGATGTTTCGGAGGTCCGTGTTTGCTCTGCTCTTATTTTGTATATTGTTTAATGGACGTTGAGATTGAATACTGTGCGTTATTTCCATATCCTTCTTGTACTGTATTTGACTACGGAATGTTCCGTGTATTTGATCAATAAAAAAGGTTTAAGGTAGGGGATGACATTTCAACGGGGGATGTTTTCTTCTCCTATGCACCTGATCCCATTTCTGGAGTGTCCATGGGTTCGTATTTTACTCTGTTCAGAGCATTGTATTGTTTGTAGTTTTTTCGAGATTGATCGTTCGTTATCTTCACCTTTTGATACATAAACAGACAAGGAGATTTTTGACATACTTATGATATAGATGATAATGATCTGATCCATACATATACAGACAAGGAGATTTTGGACACTCTTATTGATATAGATAGTAATGATCTGATCCATACATATACAGACAAGGAGATTTTTGACATTCTTATGATATATATAATAATGATCTGATCCATACATATACAGACAAGGAGATTTTGGACACTCTTATTGATATAGATGATAATGATCTGATCCATACATACACAGACAAGGAGATATTAGATATTCTTATTGATATAGATAGTAATGATCTGATCCATACATATACAGACAAGGAGATTTTAGATATTCTTATTGATATAGATAATAATGATCTGATCCATACATATACAGACAAGGAGATTTTTGACATTCTTATTGATATAGATAATAATGATCTGATCCATACATACACAGACAAGGAGATTTTTGACATTCTTATGATATACATGTAGATAATAATGATCTGATCCATACATATACAGACAAGGAGATTTTTGACATTCTTATG